CTATCTATCTATCTATCTATCTATCTATCTATCTATCTATCTATCTACCCCCTCACTGACGGGGGACATTGGTGTATCACTTTTTATTACTCTAGCAACTAATATTAGTGGTGTGAGGATTTGTGTTCCCTAGAGTCAGAATCAGAATCAGAATAAACTTTATTGGCATTGCACCGAGATACAACGCGAATATGTACGTACAGTCGTCCGAAGATGGGCGGAGTGCACAAAGCTGCGGCTAAAATAATCAGCGCAGCCTTCTTATTCTTATTCAGAATAATATTTTGCTTAGATAAGAAAAGGAAAGAAAACATGAGGAGAGACGGTATAAAAAAAGATCTCTCACACCATGTCCTAGACAGGGCACAATTTGAGGCATCAAAAAAACCTACCACAGCAAAGCAACATAAACAGACGTTATACATTTACATATAGGCGGTGAAAACATTGAATTTTTAAGGGATAGTCATAGCATAGTCCAGAGCCCCCCCTCAGCCATTGTCCAGATAAGAGTTGACGTTCATCTTCAGCTCAGTTGAGGTTCTGTTACATGTCCACGGCCTTGGGGAAGGGAGGGGTGAGGAAACAGTCAAAGCATCTTTGTTGTTTTCAAAACATTCCAGGAGGAGTTGAGATAAGTCCGGCATCAAGGCCACAGTTTGGGTCAGGCAGAACTCGTAATTGTTGTTTCTACCTTTAAAGTCTCGCTGGTACATATTCTCTGATGGAAACTCCAAAACAGCCGAACTGATCCTTTACTCCAGCACTGTCAAGCTTCAACACCTCCACACGAATTTGTAGACAACCAGATTCCACCAACCCAAACAGTAGATTCTAGTCGTCATCATGAATCCAATTTTTCCTCTAGAGTTCAGAGTGTCCTCCTTGCCCTGACTCCTGTCGGGAGAAGTTGATCGATTTTGTTGAGAGACCAGCTGATCCTTCCAATTAAGAGGTAGGCAGAAAAAAAAAAAAAAAGAGGTTTTTTAAGGGTTCACAGGACAAAAGAGCGCAGCAGGGAAGCGGGTGGGGGGGCAGAGAGGGAAAACACGTCTGGTTTCACCGTATAATAGCAAAAAAAATAAATAAATTAATTAAAAAAAAAAATAAAAAAAAAAGTCTCTTCCCCTTGTGGTATGTTCCAGCTCCTGCCGCTCCCACCGGCTCCTGATTGTCCTATCCCCAGGTGTTTGTCATTGTCTGTTCGTTAGTGTCTGTATATTAGTCTGTGTCTCTGTTTGTCATTGTCTGGACATTGTCCTGTATGGCATCCTGTTTCTGCCTCCCTCCATGTCGCCCCAATGTTTATGTAAGTTTTGCTGCTATGCCAGCCTTTCATTTTGTTTAATCAATTATTTTAATTATTCTTACCTCCAAGTTCTCCACCTCTGCCTGCACTTGGGTTCAACGAAGCATCAGCAACTCGACAAGAGGTTGAAGAGAAGAAGGAAGCAACACAATTTAAAACTCCACTAAAAGTTAATATCGTGGAGTTTGTTACTGCTGAGGTGAAGGCAGCAAGTCACAAAACGGAAGAGCAACCAGAAGGAGAGAGAAGTGGATAATGTAGAGGCTGGGATCTAAGAAGGTGGTGGAAATGTACCTACGGCTTCACCTTTGTGTGCACGACAAACACCTTCAAATCAGGTCTTCAGATCCAAAGCAATTTCTAACACAAAAAAAAGCTTCTTTAGAGGTGACATGTTCATTTTGTAATGTTACCGGAACTTTTCAGATGTTTTGTTTGAACATTTATCTATTTATTTAAGTTGCTTTGTTTCAATAAGCAATAGCCATGTCAAAATAATAGCTCTGTTGCATATTTAATTTAAGGAAACAGTTTTTATAAGCTAGGAAACCTCAAATGCTCTAAATTACACGTAGAAGACAACATCCCAAATATTTTAAAAACGGCAAAAAATACAAACATTTGAAAATGAATACAGCCCAATCAAATCAATAAATTGAGCAGAGTTGCATTTTTGTAGTTTTAAGGATGGTCTAAGACACAGTTTAGGCTGTCTAAACAGAGATGTGGTTCTGAAACATAATATTTGTTTATATGCACTGATGCTATTTAAAGAAAATGTTTCAGTATAATTTCTGGGATGTCAAAAAACAACTTTTATACAACTTTTTTAGCCAGTTCATTTCAAAATATAAAAACGTCAAAGATAATCAACAAAGCCTTGCGACAAATGATACTCTTACAAATATATTTATTTTTACATATCTGCGAGGTAGAAGTCAGAGACATGAGGCAGATAGGTTCACCCAGTCTCCAGGTCACTGGTTCTTACAGCTCCCGTAAATCCAGATGCAGACTCTCTACATCCGTTTCCTTCAGATTTCAGAGGTTCATATGAGCACTTTTCACAGCTTGTGACTGGGCTTCAAGTCGTGACTCATGTATATAATTTTTCCTAACTCCACATCAGTTATCTGAGCTGTGTAACAGATTTCCACATCTAGTGGAGGTGGATTTTTCTCTCGCTCTCTCTCTTTAATGCAGATTCATTTTTATTGTAACCGAGGTCTTATTTTCAGTTATACGAGTTAATCTGGACTCAAAATGGGAACTAAAACAAAAACAAAACGTGTCCACTGTACTGGTTACATTACATTTTTGTCAGTAAGATCTTACTCTCTTGAATGTAAGACAGGATTTTTCAACTGGCAGCCCGGGGGCCAAATCAGACCCACCGGTGAACTCAGTTTGGCCCACCAATGGGTTTATATTTAAATAAAACTAGATTTTAAACGGTAAAACAAACTTACTTAATGATAATAACTGCCCTGAGCCCTTGGCTTCAGTACCTGTGGCCCCCTGAGCAGTTTAGTTGAATAGCTCAGGACTAAGACCTCTTATTGTTTGGAACACTGACAAATAAAGACGTGTGGTGAATAAAAAAAAAGCACAAATGCACATTGTGAAAGGCAGCAAAAGGGTGTGTGTGCTGGTGTGGGGGTGGGGGGTGGGGGGTGGGGGGTGGATGGGGGACTTAAATCCTTTTTCTGCTGTATGTTCTGTTTTCCTTCACAAGTCAACAGTTAGCGTTCATTACTTGCACTGTACGATGAGCCACAAGATGTTTTCCTTTGGAGGAACAGTCCCCGTGACCGTGAGTTGAAAGATTCTGAAAAATTCTGGCGTCGGACACATGAGAAGGGAAGTAAAAACAACAAAAAACAAAGGATGGATCTCCTCTACAAGCTGCACGCAGCAGAGGATAGGGGTTAACAATACACAGCGTCCCGTCGTGATGAATGTGTGTTTGCATTCCTGGCCGACAGGAGAATGAGCCCAAAGCCACGGAAGGTGTTAAAGTCACCTTGGGAATATTGCTCCTGAGTGATTAGAGGGGGACGAGGGTGCATTCAAAGATTTCTGGTGAGCTTTGGTATCAGTTTGTGCAGAAAATGGAAATGTGCTGCTCTTTTGATCCAACTCCTTGTCACAGAGTTTACACAATGTGAAAGGATCATTTTCATCAGTTGGATTAGTCTCGAGCTGAATCAAACAACGGTATCATCTGAACTAACATCACATTCTTCACCGTGTTTTATGGGTGTTCAGACATGATGCCCGTCACACTGACAGATGGCTCCGTTTATTTATTTATTTTCTGCTGAGTGATAAAAGAAAACTGAGGCTCAGACTGTCAGCAGGCAGATAATATTTCCTGACTGCCTTCAGAGGAGGCTGCTGTGAAGCCGTGTGCATGTGTCCGTGCAGAGTGGCATCTCTCGGCTTGTTTGCAGAGTCACCTCCTGTTTTCTTTCCCTGCAGCTACACAGAGAGGTGAGAGAACACACTCTCTCTCTTTATTCCCTCCCTCTGCTCTTCCGCTTCCTCCACCTCTCTGTCTTTGACCCTTGTTAGCTGCGGTGTCGGCTGATAGCAGCAGATTCATTCTGCGGTGAGCTGTGAGCACACCTGCGTCAGGGTGTGCCCCATCGTCCTTCCTCCTCCCATCTTTCATTCCCTCACTGTTCTACCATTCCTGACCTATTTTGCTTTTTTTGCTTTGTTTCTGTCTTTTCTTGTCTCCCCCCCCCCCCCCCCCTCCCCAGCCCTGACTCTCATTCGTCTTTAAGCCACACTCGGGATCACTTCTCACCTCAGCTCTGTTTGTTTTGCTTCCCCTGTCATCTCCTCGCATCGCCTCAAACTAAACTAAACAACTCGATGTCAATGAGGGAACGCCCACCTCCTGACCCCACCCATATCACCCCGACCTGAAAAAAATCCCAAAAGAACCCCCAACTCATCTGCGTTGACAGAAGAAGACTGGCTCAGGAATGAAAATACAACAAAATACAAATGATGTTAAAACCAACCAAAATAAAATATAAAAAATCCTCACCTGACCCCAAAATTTAAAAACGCACTTCAACTGGCTGAGTGGTTAGAGCAGTCATCATCTAATGGGAGGGTTGGGGGTTCAATTCCACCAACAGTTACATGTTAAAGTGTCTCTGGGCAAGACAGTGAACCCCTCATTGCCTCCTATGTGTCCCATCAGTGTATGAATGTGATAAAGCTCTGATTATTCTTTGTATAGATGTAGTAGAGTGCTGTATGAATGTGTGTCGGAGCTAAATGAGTAGTTTTTTCTGTATTTTGACACTTTCTAGTAACTGGAGAGGACAGAAGCGAGCGCTGTACCTTTGCAGGCCTTCCTGTGTGAGATGGGTTTGGACAGGTCTCTGTAGTAGCCCTCTTTGCAGTAGTGGCAGTGACGACCGGCTGTGTTGTGCCGACAGTTGAGGCAGACTCCTCCACTCTTCCTCCCTGACAGTTTATAGAGCTCCATGTTGAAACGACAGCGCCTGGCATGAAGGTTACAGTTGCAGGCTGTGGAGGAACAGAAGGGTGTAAATGTGTTGATTCAGGGCAAATGATCATTTTTATTGAACGTATCAGACCAAACCAACTCAAACCATTAATATCATGATAGTTCTATATATTTGTTCTCATTATTTAAAACCAATGACATATGAAGTCTTAAAATATTCATCTCTGCCACCTCCACCCACATCTCCCTTCCAGTAGTACCACAGTCTCCAAATCATTACAGCAGGTCTCACTACCATCCTGTAAACCTTCCCTTTCACACTTGCAGCTCTCCAGTCAAAAATCACCCCAACACTTGTCTTCAACCACTCCACCCTGCCTGCACTCTCTTATTCACCTTTTTTTGTTCTGCATGTTGCTTTGGATGGTTGAACCCTGGTACTGAAAAATAGGGATGCACTTATCCACAATTTTTTACTTCCGATCTGAGCCCGATACCTAAATCTGGATAACAGCCGATTCCGATCCAGTTCCGATATCATCATCATTATTGATTTTATATGAGTCTGTAATAATCTCCTCTCAAGTACAATTTGTACAAATATATGTATGTCCAAAAATTCATCATGAGGTAAGTTTTATTAATGTTGGATAAGTTTCAAAGTTAGAATTAAATCCTGCTAACACAAAACATATTTGTTTGTTTTTATTCCTAGCGTTAAAGTGGATAATAACGTGATTAGATGGCTTTAAACATCTGCTAAGTTCACGGCGTAAACCAAAAAAGACATGTTCCTGTTTTTAGTATTTTACATCGCTTTATAATGTAGATGTTTTTGTTTTGTTTATATATGTGTGTGTGTGTGTGTGTGTGTGTGTGTGTGTGTGTGTGTGTGTGTGTGTGTGTGTGTGTGTGTGTGTGTGTGTGTGTGTGTGTGTGTGTGTGTGTGTGTGTGTGTGTGTGTGTGTGTGTGTGTGTGTGTATATGTAATTTCTTAGTGCGGCCAGCTGGCGGAGGGATTCTGGTTCGGTGGCCTCAGGATTCCATCTTTGCTCTTTGCAGATGATGTGGTCCTGTTGGCGTCATCGTGCCGTGATCTTCAGCTCTCACTGGAGCGGTTCGCAGCAGAGTGTGAAGCGGCTGGGATGAGAATCAGCACCTCCAAATCTGAGGCCATGGTCCTCAACTGGAAAAGGGTGGATTGTTCTCTTTAGGTCGACAGTCAGGTTCTGCCTCAGGTGGAAGAGTTCAAGTATGTCGGGGTTTTGTTCACTAGTGAGAGAAGAATGGAGCGTGAGATTGACAGATGGATTGGTACAGCAATCTGCAGTATTGCGGACTCTGTACTGGTCAATTGTGGTGGAGAGAGCTGAGCTGTAAGGCAAAGCTCTCTGTTTACCGGTCGGTCTACATTCCTAGCTTCAACTATGATCATGAGCTCTGGGTAGTGGCTGAAAGAATGAGATCGCAGATACAGGCGGTTGAAATGAGTTTTCTCCGCATGGTACCTTGACTCTTCGTTAGAGATAGGGTGAGAAGTTCAGTTATCTGGGAGAAAGTCAGATTAGAACCCCTACTCCTCCACGTCGAGAGGAACCAGTTGAGGTGATTGGGGCATCTGGTAAGGATGCCCCCTGGGCGCCTCCCTAGGGAGGTGCTTCGGGCATGTCCAACTGGGAAGACCCAGGACACGCTGGGGAGACTATGTCTCTCGGATGGCCAGGGGACACCTTGGAATCCTCACAGAAGAGCTGGAAGAGGTGGCTGTAGAAAAAGATGTCTGGGCCTCCCTGCTCAAGCTGCTGCCCCCGCGACCCGACTTCGGAATAA